AATGGGAGATGGGAGAAATTAGAATCAGCCACTCTAGCTTTGACATCAACCGGGCCTTCCACTTCAGTTCAACCAGAACCAACTGGGACTCAACAGTGTAATTTAGTGTCCACTTTAGAGTTACAACAAGACAGTAATCCAGCATATTAATTCAGTGCCTCCCAGGATATCGTAGAGAATAAGACCTATGCGTATGGTGATTAATCAGTAGCGATTAAAGCTAGACTCCAGACTAAACAGGAAATTGTCCATCCCTGAATTTGTCCTAGCTTTTGACATGTATAGGGATGTGGTATATTCTATTTATCCTAATAGAAGAGAAGAGTTTGATTTATACATGCACAAGCCGGTGGATTTAGTGAACAAATATGGAGGTACGGCATTCTTTGATTATCAAGGATCTTTTTCGGCAAGTGTCTGCAGCTCTCACTCAATGCAGAAGTAGTACAAACTGGATTAAGTTAAATATAGAAATATTCTGCAGACACTTTGCAGGTCTAAAGCCACCAGCTTGTGCATTCTGCTCATCTACCTCCCATACAACAAACTTCTGTCCCAATACAGCTGAGGATTCTTCCAATGTTCCTCTTAATTTTACTGCGTTATCAACTTTGCTGTCAGACCATCCTTCCAGACACCTGGCCGAATTCCTAATTTCAGGCTTTTCTGAAGGTTTTCATACAGGTATAATACACATGCCATCAGGTAACGTAGAATGTAAAAACCTGCAATCAGCACAAGAAAATCCCACAGCAGTCGACACACTCATTGCACAAGAAATTCCTTTTAGGTCCTTTCCAGTCCCGCCATTTACTTCATGGAGGACAAACCTTACTGGTGTTGTCACAGGGAACAACTCAATGAAACAAAGATTAATGGTTGACCTATCCACACCCCATTCCTCAGCAACTCCAAGTCTGAATTCGCCGACCCTTCTGAGGAGTTTATGCTACAATATACTACCAGTGACAACGCCATTGCAGGTATCATTAGACCGGATGTAGGAGCATGGCTAAGCAAAACAGACATAGTAAATGCTACCCATACATCTTACACCCTGGCACCTACATGGCATCAAATGGAAAGGTTTATACTATTTTTTCTCCCGACTAACTTTTGGCTCAAAAATCTTTGACATTTTTGCCGAGTCATTATGTTGGTTACTCCTGAATATTAACAGATGCCCCACAGTCATCCATTACTTAGATGACTTCCTGATGGTCGAAGATAACGACCCCCCCCCAGTAGTCTCAGGAAAGCCACTTGCCTTTTTGATCATTGGGAGTTCCAGTGTCACCTAAAAAAACGGAAGGCCCATACACTATCATTAACTTCCTAGGTATCCAATTAGATTCCATTTACATGCAGGCCAGCTTACCCAAGGACAAAGTAGACCACATACTCACATGCATCGATCAATACCTTCACTTAGGTTCTTGCAATCAGAAAGAATTGTAATCACTATTAGGTTCCCTAAATTTTGCAGTGGTGATTATTCTCCAAGGTCGTTCATTCATATCTAGAGTGCTATATCTTTTTCCCTACTTTATTAATGATGACAGTCGACTTACACTAGATGCCCAAGCTACAGCAGACCTGCTTATGTGACATAGGTTCTTAATTACGTGGAATGGAAGGAACATGTTTCTTCAGAAGATTTCGGAGAATTCCCCAACCATATGGTCAGACGCAGCGGCTACCACAGGCTTCACAGCCATATATGGTAATGAATGGCTTTGGGGTAGCTGGCCTCCAGAAGTTCAAAAAATGGAAGGTCTTTCCACTACCTCAGCACTATTCGAGATTTATCCTATAGTAGCGGCTGCAGTGGCTTGAGGTCATCTGTGGTCAGGTCATTCGGTACGTTGTTATTCAGATAACCAAGCCACATGCTACATTATTAATAAAGGGTGCTCATCATCATTAACCATAATGCAATTCCTTAGGAGATTAACTTAGTTGGCTGCTTGTAACCAATTTTTCTTGTCATGCACTCATGTACCAGGGGTTAATCATGCTGCTGACAGATTGTCTCGTTTTCAATTCCAGGCATTTCACCAAGCCCTACTCATGGCCGCACAAGTAGCCACGGCCGCCCCCTTGTTTCAGAACCTGATCATGGATTACATATCCTATTACAACACAGTCAGAAGTTGTCTAAACTGGCTCTCTCTGTCAACACACAAAGAGCCTATGATAGAGCTTTTGTTTTATTCAAAAGATTCATCGTGGAACACAACATTACTCATCCTTTCGCTATGACAGCGTTATTAGGTTTTGCTTCTTTTTGCCACCTCAAACTTTAATTATCTCACAACACCATTAAATTATACCTTACAAGTATACAACATCATATGTTAAACCTTTGGCCAAATAATCATAGTTTCATGTCCTCATAGCAGATTAAAACCATACTCAAAGGCATACAGAAATCAGGTCCCCCACATACACAGAAGATATTGTCTATCGATAACAACCTATTCCAATCTCTATCTGACCTTTTGGATTCGGCCCTTTCGAACCCCTAACTAATGAGGTAATTAAGACTGCTATGTACTTAGCTTTTTATAGCTTCCTTAGGCCACAGGAATTTACCACTACCACATCTAACACACAGTATTGTCTTAGTCAACATAACCTACCAGTAGATATTCCGAGTCTAATGGTTCCCTGTAGCGGAATTAGACTCATATTTTCATATGCCCTGCAATCACCGCTCTGTTTTCACAACACGGATCTGTCCTTACGACTCCTAAATTCATGCTATACATCAGATCCTTAATTATGTGACTAGGCCTCAACCTTCCAACTATTCAGGTCACTCCTTCAGAATACATAGAAACATAGAATGTGATGGCAGATAAGAACCATTCAGCCCATCTAGTCTGCCCAATTTTCTAAATACTTTCATTAGTCAGTGGCCTTATCTTATAGTTAGGATAGCCTTATGCCTATCCCACGCATGCTTAAAGGGACTCTCCAGGCAGCCATTTTTTACCCACCTGGTTCCAGCGCCGGGAGCCTCGTGAAGCCGCCCCCCCTATTTCATCAAAATGACTAAATAGGCTGGATAGGTTGAAGAGGACCCTGCTCAATCTAGTACAAATAAGGGTGGGGTCAGAAAATAGCAAGGGCTGACGGGAGATTGAGGAGGGACAAAGCAGCCAGTTTCAACTGTTCTGGCAGTGTCCCTGGGACAATGACCTGCTGGAGAACAATAGGACAGGAAAAAGGGGGAGGGGAAGAGGCACATTTTCCCATGGAAGTCCCTTTTTAGCATGTCTTTTTGCAGGGCCCAAAGTCTTGGTGCAGAAATAGTGTATTAAAACCCCATAAGCCTAAATAGGGTTTTTAAACGGCAATACCCCCAGGGGCCATAGTCACAGGGTTAAAGGCTGGCAAGCTAGCCTCTCCAAACCCCAGTGATAAAGGTGCTTTCATCACACATCTTCCCTCCCAGGGGGAGACTAACCTGGTACCTGACCTCCTGTCAGTCAGTACCTGAGTTAGTCGAGCAGCCCACTCAAAACCAAGTACTGCACCTGTAGTTCTCGGGTGTCCAGCTTTGTCCTGTCAGTCCCAGGCTGCAGAGGGCACGTCCACTGCCCGGATCTCCCTTGTGCTCCCAGACATGGAGCTGTAGGTACGTAGTGGGCAGAGGCCAACTGCGCTCTGCCCTGGTGTCAGCGCTTCTGCTGGGGAGGCCTGCAGGTATTCAGGCCCTGAACAAGGAGCTGTTGTGGAGAGGAGGGATCGCCTACCTCCTCCTCCTGACACTCCTGTAGTGGGGGTTGGGAATCTGGACCAACCGTCCAGCATCCGTGTGGGATAAATGGCCGCTGGGGAGAGAGACCGGTTGTCTCTTCTCCCCGGTAGGTAAGCTGTTGCTGGGGCATAGGACCGACTGTCCCCCCTCCCTATAACTCACCCTGCCACTGGGGAGGGACACAGATTGTCTCCTTTCCCTGTGAGATGCACTGCTGCTGGGGAGAGAGACCAGTTGTCCCCTCTCCCTGTACGATGCACTGCTGCTGGGGAGAGAGACCGATTGTCTCCTCTCCTTCTAATGCTGCTTGGTGCAGGGACGAGGGACTGACAATCTCCTCTCCCTGTGATGCCGTCTGCTGCTGGGGAGAGAGACCGACTGTCTCTATTCCCTGTATTGGCCCTTTTTTCTTGGATAGCCCCAATATCGCGTATAACTTGAGCTCGAAAAGCTGTGCCACTTGGTTCTCCTCGTCCAGCTTGTGCATGGTGGTCACAATCGTCTCCGTTGAAGGATTCGGGCCATACCTGGTTAACTGCCTCTTTACCTCATACCGGTAAGCGGCGCCCTCAAAGCGTTATGTCATGTTTGCTTGCTCCAAGGCTGTAGGCACCTCTGTTTCCAGGGACACTGCACGACTGCTAGCTTTGCCCTCAATATACTCCACACATTACCGGTGTCTCCGAGCTGCTTCTCCGAGCACTAGGACGCCATCCCACTGCTGCCACCACTGTAACGGATCACCTGGCACCCCGACTGGGTACCTCCATTTGACAGATGCTCCTAGTGCTTCCCTAGGGCTGCAAGCACTCCACTAGACACCAAAACCACCGCAGACCCCACGAACTGCCACAGCTTGGTTGGGGTCTCGCCGTCTTCCTCCTACTCTGGGCCCAAGACCAGGGGTAGACCTCTCCTAAATCCAGAGAGCAGGAACAGGAACAAGCTCTTACAAGAGCTTACTCTGGGGAGTATAGTGATTATAGTAATCCCCAGAGTGTAGGTAATTCTCCAATCCCCTATACCGCAAGTAGGGGCATGTCTATTAAACAGTGAGCAGCCTGTGGTTGGTCACTGTAAAAAAGCCCCCCCCTACCCCTAAGCGGCGGGTAGGGGCTCTAAAGTAAAAAAAGGGGGGAGGACCTATTGTTTTCCCCACCAGCCCCCACCCCTGAGCGGTGGGGGCCCTAAATAAAAATTGGGGGGGTGGAAATGTCCTCTCCCCTGGCCCCCACTCCTGAGCGGTGGGTGGGGGCCCTAAACAAGAATAAGGGGGGGGCCAGGGGGGAGGACATTAGGTCCCCCCCCTTATTCTTGTTTAGGGCCCTCACCCACCGCTCAGGGGTGGGGGCCCTAAATACAAATTGGGGGGGGACCTAATGTCCTCCCCCCTGGACCCCACCCCTGAGCGGTGGGTGGGGGCCTTAAACAAGAATAAGGGGGACACCTAATGTCCTCCCCCCTGTCCCCCACCCCTGAGCGGTGGGTGGGGGCCCTAAATACATATTGGGGTGGGACCTAATATCCTCCCCCCTTGCCCTCACTCCTGAGCAGTGGGTGGGGGCCCTAAACAAGAAAAAGGGGGGACCTAATGTCCCCCCCTGGCCCCACCCTTGAGCAGTGGGTGGGGGCCCTAAACCTAAACGCTCAGGGGTGGGGGCCAGGGGGGAGGACATTAGGTCACCCCCTTATTCTTGTTTAGGGCCCTCACCCACCGCTCAGGGGTGGGGGCCTGGGGGGAGGACATTAGGTCCCCCCCAATTTGTATTTAGGGCCCCCACCCACCGCTCAGGGTAGAGGCCAGGGGGGAGGACAATAGGTCCCCCCCATTTGTATTTAGGGCCCCCACCTGCCGCTCAGGGGTCAGGCCAGGGGGGAGGACAAAAGGTCCCCCCCCTTATTCTTGTTTAGGGCCCCCACCCACCGCTCAGGGGTGGGGGCCAGGGGGAGGACATTAGGTCCCCCCAATTTGTATTTAGGGCCCCCACCCACCGCTCAGAGGTGGGTGCCAGGGGGGAGGACATTAGGTGTGTCCCCCCAATTTTTATTTAGGGCCCCCACCCACCGCTCAGGGGTGGGGGCCGGTGGGGAGGACAATAGATCCTCCCCCCTTTTTTTTTACTTTAGGGCCCCCACCCGCCACCCCTACACGTCGCGGGTGGGGGCTCATGAGGGGGGACTTTTTTTTTTTTTTTTTTTAACAGTGAGCAGCCACAGGCTGCTCACTGTTTAATAGACATGCCCCTCGCGGTATAGCGAGTAGGGGCATAATTTACTAATACTTAGTAATCTTTGCGTAGTATTAGTAAATTTGGCTGAAAGACCAATTTAGGTCTTTCAGCCTTTTGGTAGATAGCTCCCTAATACCATGGGAATTAAGGAGTTATCTACCAAGCGGCTGCAAGAAAAGTCCCGAAGTGCCGAAATTGGCGAGGTTCCGAAGTGCCGAATTAACGAAGTCACGACTTTCCGAATGCCGAACTGAGCATATTTTCCCCATGCACATGCCTATATATTATTATATTTATATATAAAGCCAGGGAAGTCCAGGAGAGCCATGGAGGGGAAGAGGGGAGGCTGACAGCACTAATAGTTTAAATAACTCTGACTGCACATACCCACCATCTTTCTTAAAGTACTCAGTTATTCCACAGCTGAGACCCGCAACACTCATGCTGTGACTAGTTGAAAAGTTGTGAAGCTTCAGACTGCAGGACTGGGGCTGTGACTCTGAGGACTGATCTGATTCTGATTTCAATCTATTTTAATTAGTAATGATTGTGGCCTCTGTTAACCATGTCAGCTATTTTTTGGCTCCATATTACACTGCAGATTAATTATATTGTCAGCTGCAAAGATAATGAGGCTATGAGTATTCTTTTGCTTTAAAACTGTATACACTGTATCCTGAGAGCTAATAGTGAGTCAGTGGTAGATGCCTTGTTTGGAGTCTATCAGTATTGTGTTGCTTTAAAAAAATGTGCACACTGTGAGCTGAGAGCTAATGGATTGGCTGACGTTTCATAACAGCAGTAATATTTAATAGAAAGCTAATGTTATCATAGCAGGAGCATTACTGAAGATGAGATCATGTAATGGAGAGCTAAAAGAGGGCTTGGAGGAGAGAGAGCTGGAGCATTATCAGGAGACACGTACTGTGTGGGAATCTTTGTATTGTAACTACTTGGAAGCCACCACTGTGATCCTGGCTGTGTAAGATAGTTATGAGTATCTCCTGATGGTGCCCAGATCTGTGTTTTATTTCTCTGTATTTTACTCAGCTATGTCTGTTGTATGGGTATCTATGTAGTCTACTCAGCTCTGCGTATTGTATAGATATCTCTGTATTGTACCCAATTAGATTTTGTTCTCAGCACTGTTTGTGGTATGGTTATCTCTGTACTGTACTCAGCTCTATGCATTTTATGGATATTGTTATAATGTGTTTGGTTTGTTTTATTGTATGATCATCTCTGCATTATGCCCAGCTCTCTGTATTGTATAAGTATCACCAGAGATGTAACTAGAAACAACCAGGCCCCGGTGCGAAAATTGCCCTGGGCCCCCCTCCCACCATGTGCATCCACCCTCGCAAATGTCCCGTTACCCCCGCTTGCCCCATCACATATCTAATTCTCCCCCTCAGTCCCTTTACGTGTCTCATTCTCCCTTCAGTCCCTCCACATGCCTCATTCTACCCCCAGTCCCACCATGTGCCTCATTCTACCCCCAGTCCCACCATGTGCCTCATTCTACCCCCACAGACTCCCATTTATCTCTCCCATCTGCCCAGCCCCTCTAGGTGTCTCTCCAAACCTACATGTGTCTCTTCAACCCCACGTGTCTCTCCCACCCCCAGCTCCTCCTTGTGTCTCTCCAAATCCCCACGTGTGACAGAAACACACACACACTCACTGACAGACACACACTTGTTGTCACACACACTAACAGACACACACTGACAGACACACACACACAAACACATTCATGCACACTCTCACAAATGTATTTTATTTTTTGAGGTCCATCCAGCCTTCCTACCTTTTGGAGGGCTGGTGTGGGTCTTCTCTCTGGGGTTCAGTGTGGGGCAGTTACTCGCTCCCGGCATCACAGAGGGCACATGAGTGAGGTGCGAGGTACTGCCAGATCAGCCTCCCTTCTCGCCGACCCCAGGTGCCTGCCTCCTCTCCTTCCCCAGTCTGAATATATATCGGCAGAGTAGGCAGCTACCATGTGGGGAAAAAAAAAGAGGTGCCTACTCTGCCTCACTGAGTAAACGCCACAATGGGGCGCCCTATGGGGGCCAGATTGCCACCTCCAAGGGCCCCTGTCACAGGGCTTCTCTTGGGGCCCTCCACCTTTGGGCGGTCCACCGTCGCATGGGTTGACAGGGCGGTCAGGCCTGTCGCAGCTGCGATCCCTGTGACTGTGGTAGTTCCGCCACTGAGTATCACTGTACTGTACAGGAAGGAGTAAAATTCTGGGTGAGGAGTCTAGTGCCCTGCCATCTTCACCTGAGAGAAAACTTCACCAGTTTTAAGATGGTAGGGCATCTTCACCGGTTTTAAGACGGCACCCTGGATAAGGGTGAACTAAATAGCAAAGTTGAATCTCAGCCATTAATAATTTCAGTCAATCAACAATGTCCAGGTTGGACAGAATTGATATTGGCAGGATAATAGTTAGTCTATGCCAGGGAAGAACATAACGGTTTGACAAAAAAAGTGTGGTGATTCTCATAGCCACCTAGCTGTAGTGAATATGGTGCTTAAAATGATAATTTAATAAAACAAACAGAAGTCTACAACAGTAAAGACAACAGCAAATGCAAGTGTAATAAGAGTGACAAAGCTCCCATGTATCGTTACAAGAAAGACATTACAGTGTTTCAGTCCCAAGCATGGACCTTCCTTGACCACATGTTCACATCCTTGATGCTCACATCTTTGTGCAGGCATTTTACAATTGATTATGAAATGAACAGAAATAGTGGTGAATATTGTAATTGGATAAAAGTATGTGTTTGGTTATGAACTACTGCTTCCCACACATATTTGCTAATTCCTATCCTGATATGGCAGTAACAATTCACAACCCTTTATCAGTAATGCTTTTAACTCTAAATTAGTGTAATCCTAGAACAAAAATAACTATAATCTCCAATTAATGTGATAATCAACAAGCCTCAATTCTACTATTTACTCCATTAAAAAAACAAAGCAATGAAACCCCTACAAGGTATAAGACCCAATTTTAACTGACTCCCTAGCACTTTAATTTTTTTAAATTTAGTAACCTGGTTTTTATATATAATATTTTAGTAAGCCATGTATTAGCTTATAGTTATGGCCAATTATGTATTTACTGTTTTTTCTATTAATTGATTCTCTGTGCAATCATCTTCCAACATTTTGGCCCTCCATCCAAGATTTTAATTTACAGCATTATTCTCGAAAATGTGACAAAAGTGAATTTCACATTTAAGGTGAAATTAGCAAATTTGGAAACATTCTCTAAGTCAGATATATTTGCAGTTCAGCTGCTTACTTCGGACTCACTTTAATTTCTCATTTTAGTAAATAACCTTCCCTTGTAGGATTAAAAAGACAAGCATGCAACATCAGGCTTTTCCATTCATTTCTTCTTCAACATCTACTCCATAGCAACGAGCAATACAGTACAATTTCTTACTAAATCTACTCAAATAATATCACCAAAAACCAAAATTTTATCATCTGTTTCAAAACAATATTAATAAAACATATAATAATAGTTAATAATTTTATAACAACAAATAACATTAACCAGAAATATTAAAGTAACACTGTAGACACTTTAACAACTCCATCTTATGGAAGTTATGACTGTAGTCAAGCCCAACCCCTCTCCGGGCCATCCAAAACCCTTTATTTCACTAATTAGAAGGCATGGAAGCGCGGCATAAAGCCACGCTCACAAACCCTCTAGGTATGACAGCCGGGAATCTTACTTCTTTGCTCTTATACCATAAAATACCTTGATACATGAGCAGTGCCGTCACGGTCTGCCATAGAGAATCATTGTATTAAATTTTAGGCACATCCATGGGATCCTCCATAGACGAAGCCTTTTCTTTCTCCGCCCTTACTAGTGACGAGTGAGGGCTTAACAGCTTAACCGTGGTAGCTGTAGTTTTTGTCAAGCTTTGTCAAGCTTTGCTAAATGTAGAAATAATACATAAGAGAAAGTAGTAAAGATATTTCTTGACTGGGCTGGAATGTGAGTGAATTTCCAAAAAGTTTTCATTAGCATTTCATCTAGACTTTATCTTTATGAAATGATCTTTTTCTCTGGGGGAGAGGATGACAGAGCCGCATTAGCTGCATATATCAGTCGGATAATGTGTCCATTTTTCTTAGAAAGCTACACAGGGCCTTGAGGCAGTAAGACTCGTAGGCTGACTCACACATAGAGATGCATAGCAGTCAATTTTACAATAATGAAAACAGAGAATATGAGAACAGACAAAAGCTTAGAGAAACACAATAGCATTTGCTTGGGCTCTCCACAAGTTAAAAGGGTAATCCAGACATGGACTCCATGCTAGAAGGCTGAAGCGATCATCCAGGGTTGCTCTTGTGCAAAACGAACTTGCCTGCATTTCGGTACTGTCCTTATTGGTGTGATCAGTCTGAAATGGTATAGTGATGGCACTATGTTCCTGCTTAAAGTTAATTGCAAGGGAAGGACACATTATGGAGCAAGGGCTTGTATAATTATCTTAAAGGACTACCCTTCTACCATGGAAAATGAAACTCCCTCTACAGTGATCAGCTGCATAATGAGGTGGGTGATTTTGTTAGTGTGCAGTTTTGGCATGCCACTGGAGTCAAATCCAACTAAATGTTTAAGAGTGGGTTGGCGGACACATCCCTGGGATGATGAGGACTGGGAGTCCCCCTGTCCATGTCACTATGCTCAAAATCTCCTTTACTCTGCTTAAGAGTGGTAGTAGAGGAGGAGGTACTGATGTTTGTACTTTGCAGTTAACCCTTCTTGGAGGCTCTCAAAGATCCTGGATCTTTTCTCTGGCACAATTCATTATCTTCCACCCTTAGCAGTGTGATGATGAAGATGCGTGTGTTTTATTATTGGTGTCAGTGGAAGCTGTTGCAACACTATCTTGTACACACGGACTTGGTTGACTAATGCGACGAGAGGTGGTGGTGTTCGTAATACTCTAAATAGCACTTCCGGCACTGGTAGGAGATGATGCCCCAACTATTTCCATGAAATTAGGTAATTCAACAGCAGATAGAGATGGACTTAGACAAGGTGGAGAAGATGCGGGATACACATGCACACTATCTGGGACAGCTTAAATAAATATCTGCAGTGGTGTAAGGATCAGCAACATCTTTACCAGAATTATTACCATCACCACTAAGAATCAAGATGCATTGAGGACAATCTACCCTAACTCTTCACTAAGACTTGGCACTGTTGCAGGGCCCTAGGCAATAATTCATTTTGCCTCCCCCTCATGAACATTCGCTCAGAAGATTATTCACTTAACTCTGAATTGCAGTGAAGAGGCATTTAGGGAAGGAGAAGCACTGGGCAGACATTAAGTGAAATTAGACGCACTGGTGAGAAATTTAGAGAATGAAAACAGCCTGGGAAGACATTTAGGAAAAAGGTAGAGACTGTTTAGATATTTAGAAAACAGAGACTGGGATACATTTTAGGAGAGAGATACAGTGAGCAGACATTTAGGGGAAAGAAAGAGACACTGCCCAATATAAACGCACTCATCCAATATACACATGCTGTCTAATACATCCATACTTACTGCCTATTACACACAATTAACCATATACACATACGCACATTCATTCACGCATACTTCCCAAAACATATATCTATACACAAATACTGTCTAATATATACATATATATCCATACAATAATACTGCCAAAAACATACATCAATGCATTTGGTAGGATTTCCTTTATAATAATGGTGGGATTTCATTTATGTTACAGTAAACTTTAAGCAAAACATTTATTTCAGTTTAATATAGAATTATATTCATATATATTTTAAATATAATTTAATTTAAAAGGATCTCTTTACATGGTCACACACTCTCACTGACATACACAGTGTCACTTACACACTCTCACTAACACACACATTCGCATTGACATACACAGTGTCACTTACACACTCTCAATTATATACACAGTGTCACTTGCACACACTATCACTGACATACACAGTGTCACTTACACAATCTCACTAACACACACACATACACACACAGACATACATAGTGTCACTTACACACTCCCACTAACACACACACTGTCACTTAAACACAAACTCACACCATTTTACATATAGTCACACTTTATTTACACCCAATTTGCAACCATGCACACAATCATCAGTCCCCCTTATCCTCCAGATGGGCCATACCTAAGTACTGTAATTTCATAAGAAGGGGGATCAGCCTCCAAAAATTGTTCTTCCTGCTGTGGGAGCAGGAAAGCCTTACACTGTACGCACAGGCTGCTCCCTGCCGAGTGGTTCCGGTGCTGACAGGCAAGGGGCAGCCGGGATACTAGGTCATGTCCCAGTTTCCCCTGCCTGCAGGAAGTAGTGTCTTCTGCTTGGGTGCTGTGTTTACAGCAAACCCTGCTCCCCAACCGGTCAATCGGCAGAAGATGGAGCCCAGCAGGTGAATGGCTGCGCTGGAGGGTGGCTAAGGAGCTGCTCATCCAGCACACCAGCCCCAGATAACAGCAAGGCAGCACACCCAGGAAGCCTCTCGGTGTGCACCACCAACGAGTCGGCGCCAGCCCAGCAATGTTGGCTCTGACAAAATTTCTTCTGAGCTCTCACTTAGTTGCTTTTTTTGGAGGGGTACATGAAGTAAGGGGTAACATTGGGAATGACAACAATGGTGTCACTGATTTCTTGCTTTTACCACCATAAAACACAAAACTGGTAATGCCGAAACTAGCTTTGATAGAAGGAACTGTAGTGCTAATAGAAGCAACAGCAGAGGTTATTGTGGAGCTGCTAGTCTTCTTATTGGGTCTAGCTGACTCTGCTGTTGCAACAACAGACTCTGGAAAGACAACAACCTTCAGGAAATAAGTAGGAAAATAGGAGGTTTGACAAGAGACAGGATTAATCATTATTGCAAACTGCATACCTCTCAACATTTAATGGACAAATTCCTTCATTTTAAGGGTGTGACGAGGGTGTGTGGCCATGAAGCCGAAAATATAGGGACTTTAGGATTGAAAAGAGGAACAGACCCATTTGGGCCCAAAATAAGGAACTGTCCCTCCTAAAAAGGAACACTTGAGAGGTATGTATATATATTCCTAAATTAGTTCACAAATCAAGGAATCCGCAAAACTGGGAATTTTGGAGAACTGAAAAGGCAATTCCACCAAGGAGCTATTTTCCTGCATGATAAATCTGACTTAAAATCTGCAATTGTCAAAATATCCTTGTTCTGTGAATAAACCCCCTAGGAGTTAAAGGACCACTACAGTGCCAAGAAAACAAACTACCGTAGTTTTCCTGGCAGTATAGTGCCCTGAGGGTGCCCCCACCCTCAGGGTCCCACTCCCGCCGGGCTGAAAGGGGAGGAAGTGGGTTAAACACTCAGTTTTCTCCAGCGCAGGGCTCCCTCGGCGCTGGGGTCTCTCCTCCTCCTTTCCGACATCATCGGCTGAATGCGCGCGCACATTCAGCCAGTCCAAGAGCCGCGCGCGCATTCAACCAGTCCATAGGAAAGCATTCTCAATGCTTTCCTATGGACGCTGGCGTCTTCTCACTGTGAAAATCACAGTGAGAAGCGCAGAAGCGCCTCTAGCGGCTGTCAATGAGACAGCCGCTAGAGGCTGGATTAACCCATATGTAAACATAGCAGTTTCTCTGAAACTGCTATGTTTAAAGCAGGCAGGGTTAATCCCAGATGGACCTGGCACCCAGACCACTTCATTAAGCTGAAGTGGTCTGGGTGCCTATAGTGGAAAGCAAATTGCAAAAAGAACCAATCTGGAAAACATCTCCATCCCTTATAGAACACTATAGTGTGAGAAATACAAACATCTATTCCTAATGCTATAGTATTTCTGTCCCTATTATAAATATATTACAAAAAACATCACCTTTTTGCCAGCACTAAGCAGGCTGCTGGTCCAATACAAAACTCCTTGTACTGCATTGGTGATTGTCATGATCCACCAATCAAGCTCTTGTCATAGAAAAGAATTGAATGAAATAATTATCTATGACAAGCCATGAACAACGAGAAAAATAAAAAACGCAACCACACTCCAATCACGTGAAGATCCGGGTGCTAAACTGGACCAAGGGCCGGCACCTTTCCCATGGAGTAGATATCAGTGGTAGAAAGAGGATCCAGGCACTCCCAAGCGTATCTTCAAATCTATTTATTGAGACAAGTGAGACGTCGCAACGTTTCGACCCCTGAAAAGGACAAAGACCCTTTCAGGGTTCACAACGTTGTGGTTGTGGTGGTCTTTTCGGAGCTTCATGGCCACATACCCCTAGTCCCAATAAATAGATTTGAAGATACTTGGGAGTGCCGGGATCCTCTTTCTACCACTGAAGCCATGAACAATGTCGCGTTATGGCTGGGTACGAGAGCCGGTGTTCTATCGGATTTCCCTTACCTGTGAAAATTCTCTGTGATGGTAAAAAATTAGCCACAACCAAGCTGTGACTATAACTGAAGACCAGCAATGCTTGCCTAGATACCATGCCATTCACTATGCTTGGGAGCTTATTGCTGGGAATTCTATGAGAAGTGAGAACCTTTAGGTACAAACAGCTGATATTCACACTCTGCTGGGTGTTTGTTTTCCTATACAGTATGTCCTGTCAGATATGGGCACAATCTTAACCCTAGATTTTGTAACCTTGTTAATAAAGATTTCTTATTTGAGGGGAAAAAAAATAATAATTTCGTCCTAAACACAAGAGACACAAACCCATTGCATTGCCAGTAATAGCAGTTACGTCATTCAAGGCATTCTCCTAGATCCTGTATACAGTCCTAGAGCAGGGTTGTAGTAATGAACCTATGGGTGAGGCGCTGTGTTTGCAGGTATCTCGCGGGCCGTGCTGTTTGGAACTCAACGCTCTCACAGCCATCGCCATGGAACGCCGTCAGCTCCAGCCCTGCGTCACCGCCAACGTCACGGCGCACGCGACGTCATTCGTCACGACGCCTCGGCTGGGCATGGCGGCATCCTCTTCCTGGTAACGGTAACGGGGAGCTGGGAGACCGGCGGCCTTCCGGATGGCGGACTTTGATGAGATTTACGAGGAGGAGGAAGAGGACGAAGAGCGGGCGCTGGAGGAGCAGCTCCTCAAGTACTCCCCGGACCCGGTGGTGGTGAGGGGATGCGGGCACGTCACAGTGTAAGCTCACGGTGCGGGCTCCGGGGGGGAGCTCTGTGATGGAGCTCTGTGAGGGGGGACCGGATCCATAGAGGAGGGGAGCTCTGTGAGAGGGACCGGATCCATAGAGGAGGGGAGCTCTGTGATGGAGCTCTGTGAGGGGGGACCGGATCCATAGAGGAGGGGAGCTCTGTGAGGGGGGACCGGATCCATAGAGGAGGGGAGCTCTGTGAGGGGGACCGGATCCATAGAGGAGGGGAGCTTCCAGGAGGAGGACCGGACCCATAGAGGAGGGGAGCTCTGTGAGGAGGACCGGATCCATGGAGGAGGAGCCCTTAGGGGACCGGATCCATAGAGGAGGGGAGCTCTGTGAGGGAGGACCGGATCCATAGAGGAGGGGAGCTCTGTGAGGGAGGACCGGATCCATAGAGGAGGGGAGCTCTGTGAGGGAGGACGGGATCCATAGAGGAGGGGAGCTCTGTGAGGGGGACCGGATCCATAGAGGAGGGGAGCTCTGTGAGGGGGACCTGATCCATAGAGGAGGGGAGCTCTGTGACAGGGACCGGATCCATAGAGGAGGGGAGCTCTATGAGGGGGACCGGATCCATAGAGGAGGGGAGCTCTGTGAGGGGGACCGGATCCATAGAGGAGGGGAGCTCTGTGAGGGGGACCGGATCCATAGAGGAGGGGAGCTCTGTGAGGGGGACCGGATCCATAGAGGAGGGGAGCTCTGTGAGGGGGACCGGATCCATAGAGGAGGGGAGCTCTGTGAGGGGGACCTGATCCATAGAGGAGGGGAGCTCTGTGAGGGGGACCGGATCCATAGAGGAGGGGAGCTCTGTGAGGGGGACCGGATCCATAGAGGAGGGGAGCTCTGTGAGGGGGACCGGATCCATAGAGGAGGGGAGCTCTGTGACAGGGACCGGATCCATAGAGGAGGGGAGCTCTGTGAGGGGGACCGGATCCATAGAGGAGGGGAGCTCTGTGAGGGGGACCGGATCCATAGAGGAGGGGAGCTCTGTGAGAGGGACCGGATCCATAGAGGAGGGGAGCTCTGTGAGAGGGACCGGATCCATAGAGGAGGGGAGCTCTGTGAGGGGGACCGGATCCATAGAGGAGGGGAGCTCTGTGAGGGGGGACAGGATCCATAGAGGAGGGGAGCTCTGTGAGGGGGACTGGATCCATAGAGGGGAGCTCTGTGAGGGAAGACAGCAACCAGGAAGCGACCAAGTAAACCGTGTGTCTCGGGGAGACAATATGGGGTTCAGAACTGCAACTCCCTGGATACTTTGCCAGGCTACAGGTTAACAGAGCATTGTGGGAGTTGATGTTTATCATAAGTGAGGGTCTCTTTCTGTCCTACAGCTGTCTCAAGTTGAGGATCTCTCGGTCTGTGTCATACCTGTCTAGGGCTGGACCTCTCTTTATCTAGTGTATATATATCTTTACATGAGGATCTCTCTGTCTGTCATACCTGTCTAGGTCTGGACCTCTCTTTATCTGCTTTATATGAGGATCTCTCTGTCTGGTACTTGGCGTTAGATTAGGATCTCTCTCTGCCTGTCCTTAGACATTAATCTCTCATTTGCTGTCTGTTCTATTTGTCTTTAACAATGGATTTCTCTCAATCTGTCTTATAGAAGAGCTCTTTAGTATGGGGGGAGGGGTGCTTTGAACACAGTAACTGTTACAGTTATGGTTCAAAGTGTTTTTAGATGCTGACTGGACCTCCATGTCACTCTGTTCAAAGGAACACTCGAAGCACTATAATTGTACCATCCTCTGTAGTGTGTAATATGCCAGGTATTATGCCTCTTCCCATTTATCTGAATGCTGCTGCATGGAGCTTCTTCTTAGCACCTCTGAGCTAAGCCTATTTCTTAGAGCATCAGCTAAGCGCTGTCAGCCAGTGAACTAATGTCTACTCAAGAGCTTGTGGAGACAACTGTTCTAATACAGCATAACTTCTTACCCTGGAAGGGTGCCAGGGCATCCTGGCAGCATAATCGCTGCAAGGGGCTGTAGTGTTTGAGGCATACTTTTATCTCTTATGCCAATTTGTTAGGCACGTTTTTGATGACTGTCTTGGTACATCTTCCTTTATGTAGGGTTAAAATGATATACTTATAGGTTATAATCCTATACAACATTACATTTTTTTTTAATACACTGTGCCAGCTTGGAATATATAGCCGACAATTTTTCACAATTTATTTTTATTTTTCTGCTATGTCATCAGCATAGCAGCAAAGGCTGCGGAATAAAGTCTGCTATCACATGTACAAAGTATCCTGCAATTTGTAGTATACTCCTATCTCTTAGGAATTGTTAGATGCTGACAAGTCATTTAAGAACAGGCTGTCTGTGTATGCTGAGTTTGGTACTTACTGTGAGGCAGAGGCCAGTCCAGGAACACCGTGATTGGGGGGGAAAAAGGGCTAAGGAGGCATGCTTATTCTACTGAAAACAGTAAGATATTTTTATTTATTTATTTTGAGGTCATAACCTTTAAAGGGTAAGGAACAAAAACAATTTAGTAAATATACCCTCAGAGAAAATGTGCATATAATTTGGTTTGCATGTTTTCTTTGGAGATCTATGGAATGTGCCTTGTAATAGCTGCAAGATGTCCAATATGTATGGCACCTCATGTGTGAGAATAGTGACAAAAGCTCCTGGCAGATGAAGTCTCCAGGAGCCAAAGAATGATGGTGTCTAGGAGGGAACAGAAATGTCTCTGTCCTCTTTCCCGCTCTGGTCCCCACCACCATTCAAGTAGTTGTTACCTTGTAAGACTTGGCAAAAAAACACAAAGACTCCACAAGTGCCGGTGCCATTTTGAAATTGGATTTTGCCACTTGATTAATGATAAAATGTCGGTTTGGCCAGACATTTGTATATATTTCTAAGAACTAAATATATTTGAAAGCTGCAGGGGACGGTTGTAAATAGGTGTGCCCTATTTATTTATACTTTCATTTAAGTATGCGTTGGCCCAGAAATGATTGGGAACCAATTCTGTAGAGCACAACATGAAGATTGACTAATTTCTCCCCCCTTTGCATCTCTACTGTATTACTGATTGAGAGAGCCAGGATGTGATTTCATAGCCTGTCATTCTCAGTTTGAAGTAGTGTAGGGAAGTGAACTTTGTGTCAATGATTTCCTATTCTCCCCATAAGACTGTCAGATATTGTTGATGGTGCTAGCATGTCTAGAGTTCTGAGGCTACCTGTGTATTAGTTTTTAAGATATCTTTTAGTTTGCAAAATAAAACTCTTAACTCCATAAAGCATTTTACACATTTATTCCTGTATTTAACCTTATACATAACTTTATAAATTATTTATTTCAATTGGGTAATATCAGTGAGCATCATATTATTATAAAACCTACGAACTTTTCTGTCAAGCCCTACAAGCTGAAACAGTACTTCTGTCCTTGTTTTCTCACTTTCCTTTTGTACTCTCTTGTATTTAACTCACGTTTTTGTTTATTTGGCTCCAAATCTGTTTAGCTGTTGATGTCTTTACATCACAGCTCACTTGAGGCAGTCCTGTCAATTCAAAATTAAATTCAGCATAAACAATCTGTCAACTAAAATAGATTAATCTGAACGTCTACAAAACAATAAAGTCCATTTTACGTGCAGTGTAGTTAACCATCACACCATGCTTCTGTGAGTTAATATTTTGTCAATTTCTCCAGCAAGTGTGTAGGTTACTTGTATATCTACCTAAAGATGAACTTGTCAACCACACAATTTGGGGATAAGAGGTTTACTTTTAATAGACTACCGGTAATTGTTAATTGACTAGATCGTGATCTCCCTATATTAAATAGCACTAGTGTGCCTTCTAAGCGTCTCTTTTTGTGACAGGTTACAGTTTATGTAGAACCTATGCTAGAAAGCTTTTGTGTGGTGTCTGTCTTCCTTTCAGAAAAGTCCAAAAGCTTAATATTTGTAAACCCTTTCAAACTGTTATTTTTAAAGTGCTCATATATTACTATTTCTCATATTGACTAAAGTTGTTTACAAACATTTGAACTCTCATAGACCATGCTTAGCTCAGCAGTTCCGTTCTACTTGATTCCTTGCCTCTGTGTGGCTTGACATACCACATGAACTTGTTAACCATGGTTCCTTAAAGGTGCCTACTTTGTAGCATTGATTAATGTTAAAACTCTTTAAAATTAGATAAGTGGTCTTTTCTTTAAATTTGTGTCGACCCCTGCCTTAGTTTCTACCCGTCTTGAAGTATTTTGTTTTACCTGAGTGGTAGTTGGGTGAGTTTCTCCTTTGTTAATAGACCCCATGGAGGGCAGTAAGTCCTTAACAAACCAGAGCGCTTTGAAAGTCTAATCCTGGGGAGGAGTGAGAACAGGATATGTGAATCTGTGCATCTCCATCATGAAATGACCTACACACTCAGTTATTGTAGAAATCTCACAAAGCTGCCTCTATGCCCAGCAATTTTACTAGACTATTCTAAAGCTATATAAAACCCACCATGTATCTTGGCATGTGTGGAATCAAGGTCCGTATACAAACACAATTGTAACTCAATCATTTTATATTTTAACTTATATAAGATTTTCCGTTGGGACTTGTATATGGATTCTTGTATGATTGCAGTTTTTGAGTGTGCCTAATTTATTCCTTCAGTCATAAAATAGCCTTGCTACTCCTATGGGGTTCTTTGTTTACTAGTTCAGCTGTTTACAACAAGTACAGAATCTGATCGAGGAGATGTTGGAAATGGCAAAGCCTACATGTATCTATCTAGCCGCCGCGTATCTTTGTGTAGTATGCTATAGTCGCTTCTAAACTAGAATGTGTGACTTTTACAACACAGTTCTTGGAGAAAGAAGGTAATGAATGTTACAAGGAAACATGAGAAGAAAAAAAAATTTAAAAAATATTTGCATATTCCAATGAAGTAACTAAAACACTGATCAGCTACAATGTTGTAAATACGGTGTAAAAGGATGAGCTATTGGTATTTACTGTCTGATATAAAATGCAGAATTACTAGAACAATAAAAATAACAAATGTTTTTTTACTGTTCATTTAAATCTTAGTTATACTAATGAGTGTATGCAATAGTTTCTTTCAAATATCTTTTTTCATAAGCCTTTTTGTATTATGTCATGACCTCATTTAGAATATTATATTCCAAAGACATTGCTAACTATATAGAAAGATGAATATTTTGCAACCCCATACAAAGGATATATAGTTAAAATAAATAATCCTTGAATATGCACTCCAAATATGAAAACCAATATTTATTCATGTTATATTTTTTGGCCTTCATAATTAACTATATATTGAATTGTATCATTTAGCATTTTTTACTATTTCTTCATTGTCCCACTCCCACAGTTTTAAAATACTGCTTGCTAGCTACTGTACATATGTAGGAGATATCACAGAGCTCACTCTGTTCTTTCTAACCTGCACTTGTTCTGCAATAAGTTAAGTTACCAGGAGCACATCAAATGTTTGTGGTAGTTTTTAGTTACTAAAAAATTAACCACTTTCATATGTAGGAACTAGATAACTGAACTAAAAGTTACAAAACCCCTGCTCTTAGCTTAATGGAAGCTATGCACAGTGCATTCAGTTTGGCATTGAAGAATTGTAGTTAAGTGAAACAGAACCTATTTATTTGTCAGCTTTCCTATCTTTGCACAGAGTGACATCTGTGACTCCATGCTTATACTCCACTAGCAGATGCAAAGTATTATTTTTTTTGAGAACATAACTTGGTGTTCCTGGACTTTAGACAACTAGTGCCAGATCTTTACTTTAATCCTTGCAGAACTGGCAGAACTGGGTTAAACATGTCCAACAGGTCATACTTCATAAACCAGAATAAGAGGCTTCTTATTGGCTATGCTGTTTCCTGGAATGGGCCAAGCTAAATGACGATATTGTGATGTCAGAGGGTTTGCATAAAAAGCAGGGGGTGTAATTTTTATATACATATTATTAATGATTTATCTTTGTTATACATTAAACGTGGTTCTCTTCCACGTTCTGTATCAAATGGTATAGTACTATATGGTATTTATATTTGCAATTTCTTCCACTTGTAGATTTGGGCTTAGCAACAAATTTGAAGCAGAGTTTCCATCATCTTTAACCGGCAAGGTATGTGTGCGCATGTTGTACATAAAGTAATATCATTATCTAAAGATATTGTCTACAGTAACTTAAATGTTCACTCCAACTACGCAGGTAGCACCGGAGGAGTTTAAATCCAGCATTAATCGGGTGAACAGTTGTCTCAAGAAGAACCTTCCGATTAATGTCCGCTGGTTGCTTTGTGGGTGTCTTTGCTGCTGCTGTACCTTGGGCTGTAGCATGTGGCCAGTAGTTTGTCTCAGTAAAAGAGTAAGTTATGTTGGTTATTTTTCCCCCTCCTTCTGTTGAATTGTTTCCATATTTGACAGATTTGTGGTTACATATATTAAAATATTCATGTTGCCATATCCTATGAAACCTCATTCTACTAATCCCCCCCCTTCCTTTCTCTGTGGAGGATTTGTGATTGGGTGTAAGTTTTTTTTTTTATTTTTATTTTTTTATTTACCTAAATAACATAACACTATAGTGTTCCTTTAAACTAGAGAGTTTATAATTGATGTTTTGATCCAAACATTTTCTGCCTGTCAGCCTTGGATGGCCGACATTGAATGGTGAATGTCAACCTCTCTCAAGTCTACAAATGCACAGAGAATTTATGAAATCCTCTAGCAAGAATGCACAGGACAAATGAATGAAAGCAAAGTGTACTGCAGTAGCTAATTTATATATTTTAGAAACCTGTTGAATTTTAGGGACACACATGCATATGTAGTATGTGTAATTATTTCCACTATTGTAAGTTTAAAAGCCGTGAAAAAATGGTTAAGCATGCTTCTTTCATGTATCGTTTTTAGTTTAAAAAAAGAAAAATATAGTGTCATAATGTTTAACCTAAAATAAATACCATTCATATAAGTGATATGTAATTTTCATTGTAGAGTTTAAAATGTGAGTTTTTTTGTTTGTGATTTTTCCCACATCAGTTTGCATAACATGCAATGCATTATGGAGTTAGAATTGAGAAAATCTTGATTGACAGGTATGCTCCTGAATTGGTTCTTGCAGCACACATAATCTCTCCTGCCCTTGCTCCCACGCTGGGCACATTGTGGTGGAACAGCCTCTCATTATTGAAAGACGTACATACTTTCAATGTGCAGACAGGTTCCCTAAACAAGCTAACTTACTGAAAATGGTTTCACTAATTTTTATAAACTCTCCCATCCTCCCCACTTTCTCATTTCTCATTCTGGTTCTTTGACAGATCATGCATCTTTTAAACTATGAGTTTTGGCTAAACAGGAAACTGAACAACTCTTCAATTGTGTACTGACTCGTGACTCTTATCAAGCCTTCTAGTGATTGGTTGAAGGTGACTTTCCAATGGCCATGACTTATAGTGTAGAAGATTTGCACTAATAGAAGATCTCAAGTTTTTTCTGGCTCTCAGGCATTTGTTTTTTGAAACAATTCCCCACTCTTTTATGCTTAGTTGAGTTGTGGCCAAAAGTTGCATAATTCACATTATCTTTTGGTAAACTTTAAATCTATGTATTTGAACAGCATACATTCTATTTGGAAGCTTAGTAGGGTTACAGGAAAAAAAGTACACTTTTGTAAATGTGTTTTTTTGTTTTTAGGATACGGTACATTAAAAATACTCAAATACTGCTTATTTTATGTAAACGTAAATGTGTTTGTTTTTAAAAGCGTACTCATCCAAAACCACTGCATTATCTTGAAGTTGTATTTTGTGCAAAGGTGATGCCCCCTTTCTCTGGCAGTGTAAAGCATTGCTATTTCTGAGAAACCACAATGTATGTATTTTCAGTTTGTCTGAGAACACACAAATTAGTTGCTGTTTTTGCTACCTCAGACTCACTCAGACCCCGCACTTAGAGGACTGGGCTTCCACAACAGACAGCATCATGGGATCTCTCTCCAATAGCAGTTCCACTACAGTCTGCTACGCTCATACACATTTCTAGCACACAAGTCTAGCTGTTCCTTCTACAGGCACATAACTTCCATGTCATTCACCGAAACGTACATTCAGATATAGTCATACACAGTTGCCAATGTAGGTATTTTCCCTCTTCTTCTCACTGGTGCCAGAAGAGATGTGAGATGTGCTCAGCCACGGTAGAAGAATATATATTGTTATATTGTTGATCTCTGGTGCTGGTGAGAACTGGAGCAGAGACAGCTTTCCCCTTTCCAGCTGGCAATGTCCGCCTTGATACAGCGCGTGAGTGGGAAGGAACCAGTAGTGCTGTACTATAGCGTTACTCAATGAAAAACTGAATCCCTGGGCACTTCAGGGATCAGCTACAGGACCTTCAATCTCTGCTTCCTCATCTTCAGTAGTGGTGGGCAGCAATGCAGAGGTAAGGGAGAATTATTGTCTAGTGTGCATGCATGGGCAGCTGGTCAGCTGTTTGTACTACACATCCTAAATCCATTGGTTTTTTGAATATCCAGATATTCATGCCTCTAACATCCCTTTTTTTTATCTGCACGTGCAGACCTGTAGGAATTTAGAATTTATTCAAAGTAACCCTATGATAGCCTGGTTATACTGTGTATTAAGATTTCTTGGCTCAGGCCGACCCATCTGATTATTTTATTGACGTGACCAGGAAGCCCCAAATAATCTTACCGCACTCATAGCAATGATTCCTTCTGTAGTCACACACTGTTATACTCATATTGTGCAGTTTTCATACATTACATAACTTAGGGAAATGTCTCACTGATCACAATACCTGTTATGCGATAACAGAGATCCCAGCTTCAAAAAATATAGAGCAGTGAAATTGATTAAAACAAATCCTAGGCACATACTACTGAAATAAGTGTAAAATAACAAAAAATCTTTAGTCTCAACATCTTTATGGTTTACTGGCTGATATTTGAAGAATTATGCAAAATACTTGCATTAACAATCGGTGATATTCAGGTGTATGTACAGCTGTGCTAAAATTATGGTGAATTGATTCGCACTGGAAGTAGAATAACTTTGAAACAGGAACATAAAGCACTTATTGGTGTACGTTTGGGAAGATATAAGCTCCCCTGTATGTTGGCCCGTGTGTGTGTGTCTTGCTCCAGCTAAACTTTGAAAGGCACAGCTAGGAGAACATAATTCATTATAAGTGAAATCAGAAGTGTTTATGATCTGGCTCAATCACGCTTTAAATAAAAATTTGAATAATGTCCTAAAATAATAGCAGGATGTACAGAAATGACCTCTAACCTATTCTTGGGTGAATGTAACATTTACCCTCTGGAATTCGTATGAATAATCATTTTTATGCTGAGAACTGACTGTTTAACGGGAAGAACACTTCTTTTCCTGGCATTCAGCAAAGGAAAACCATGGTCAGTGCTGACGGGCAAAAGCAATCACTGTTTTTCAAACCTGTAATGTGGTTGACAGTGTTTTGTATATGGACTCTCTGGCTAATGCTCTAAGTGTAACTGTGTGGATGTTTATTTAGAAATGGTCCAATTTCTGCTGAAAGGTATTGTGTTAAAGGACCACTATAGTGCCTGGCTCTGGAAGGGGGTTTAAACTTACCTTTTTCCAGCGCTGGGCGGGGAGCTCTTCTCCTCCCCGTCGGCTGAATGCGCACGCGCGGCAAGAGCTGCGCGCGCATTCAGCCGGTCACATAGGAAAGCATTCATAATGCTTTCCTATGGACGCTGGCGTGCTCTCACTGTGAAAATCACAGTGAGAAGCATGCAAGCGCCTCTAGTGGCTGTCAGTTAGACAGCCACTAGAGGAAATAGGGGAAGGCTTAACCCATTCATAAACATATGTTTATGAAAGAATGGGTTAACCCTAGCTGGACCTGGCACCCAGACCACTTCATTAAGCTGAAGTGGTCTGGGTGCCTAGAGTGGTCCTTTAAGGATAAGGGGGAAAAATTAAATAAATACATTTTAGGGATTTTTTTGGTCGGGTTAGATTTGGTCATGTATCTCTTATGTGTTTTAGTTATAGGCTGCATGCTCTGAGAATATTTTGTTTATGGAAAAATAATTGAATATGTACTATGCCTGTCCTTGGCCTATAATTAAATACAACATTTTCTACATGTGTAATATTTCAGAAATTAAGTCGCAATGCATTTTGGAGTGTTTGTCTGCAAGTGCTTATCTTAAGCACAAAATTATTAAGCAACGTAGTTTGATTTTGAGTGTAAAAATACACTGCAATCAAATATTTAAATGTCCAAATTTCTCCTTACTATAGACAAGTGAAAATTTAACACGTTCATTAGAACATTTTTTTATTAATTCCCCCCTGTCCTTCCTTCATCTATCATCATACTATATGATGCAGGTTATTGAACACACATTGTTGGCCACACTCCCACTATTGCAACCAGAGAAGGAAGCAAACCATTTCAGGTGGCCTGCGCTAGGAATCAATTGCAGTGTGAGGTCCAGTGAGTTTGGGGCTTAGAATCTGAACCTTGGAGATTAAGTTGATTTGGAATGGCAAGTAAGTGAGCTAACCAGTGTGGTGGTGAATAGCAATTAGAGCTATCATGTCATAGAAAGGTGGTGGATGCTTTTAATGTAATCAACATTGTATGGGGCTAAATTATAGTATTGCCATTAGACGATTGAATCACAGGGCATGCCCAACACCATCATAACCAATTTACTTGATTGCTTTGCCTTTTGGAGGATTTTTTTCCCCATCTAAAAAGTTGCATGTGTTGCTAAGTATAGCTGCAAGAATCAACTTTTATATGTAGTTAGAACTGTGCAATTATTATTGGTCAGTTAGACTGTTAAAGCCTGGTTTCTTTTGACTTCAAACAATCCTTCTGACACTTTCTCTTCTAGTGTAAAAGTGTATCAAGGACAGTAGCCTGTTTAATAGGTCAAGTGTAATAGAATCCGTCAATTTCCGAGCTTGAGAGAGGATTGTTAACGGAGCTTTGGGAATACTTTAAATGGCTAGGTCCTTTGAAGGTCTATGTAAAAAGGCTGTATTTGGAATGCTATGCATTGCATAGATCAGTATTTAAAACAAGTGTTCTTTCAATTTAACTACTTTTCTAATATATAATTACCCATGGTGTGCAACTTTTAGTTAGCTTATGGTATCGTTAAACAATATTTTTTTTTTGTGATAGGTTCTTACAGATCTCTCATGTGCTAGGAATTGAAAATGATGGCCCAAGTTGTGGTTTTATTTAATTCTGAATAGATTTATGCTATATATATAAATTCTTTCTGTTTTATATTCGTCCTACATATGATGTTGTACTGGATTCAATGCTTATTCACGAGAAGCATATCTTGCAGAGCACAACAGTACTTGCTCTATAGCCCCCATTGCATTGTATTGGCCCAGAGTTCATCAGTATTGATCTCCCAGGGACAGAGTAGACTTCAGAAGTGGAGATGGTCTTGACGCTGGATTAGAGGCAAGTCTGCTTTTTTAAAAAATTAAGTACAGGGGGTTTTACATTCAAAATTAAACCAAGGAACCCTTTGTTATACATTTTTAGTGGGGTAGTGTTCTTTTAAACATTTTCAAAACATTTTGTTAGAATGGCACATAAAATACTAAAGATAGAAATATAAATGTAAACAAAATAGGTTATTTATGAAGAAATATTAGTAATCCACAATATGCAAGATATGTACTACACTTGTGCAAAATTCTGTTTGGAGCAGTTTGTCTGAATTTTATTATTTTATATATTTAATTCCAACATCATTAGAAGATAATGTGCTATTTAACGTATTGCGTGTTTTTCTCAATCGTTTGCGGAATCTAAGATTTATCCATCCCTGATAAACGTCTATACTTTACTTTTTAAGAACTGTAAATTCTGTAGTTTGCGATTAGTTTTGTTTTTTGTTCCTCTTATGTTGTGTCCCTCTTGGTAAAGCATGAATCCTGAATGCAAAATGTTACATTTATTTAGTAGTTGCTTTTACCTGGAGACAGAATATTTTACATTCTAATCAAGCTCCCAATTCTATTATTGTTTTGTCACCTGCCATTTTAATAGCACTCCTTAACCTGTCAGGCATTGTGATTAATTAGTCTGCACATGCAAGTCCTTTCTATTTTTCACCTGTCATAGCAAAGAAAAATGATGTGCCTTCACATACCATGTTTCCACGGAATTGCTTGTTCTGAATATAAGTTACTGATGTCAAATAACACTTAAAGGACATCTGTCACCTCAGAAATATTTTTTAATTATTGTTTCATCAAGTTTTGAAGTGGGGAAGACCATAGAGACCATCTATTTTCAAACACTCTGACCCAAGGTGTGTGTGTATATGGCTGAAGGATTGTCATATACTAAAAGTAGGGATGCTTTTTTTTTTTTTTTTTAATTAAGTTTATTTCCTTTTAGTACTTATTGTATGAAAAATATCTTGAGGTGACTGTTATCCTCCAAGCACTCTCTTCCTAAATAAATGTATGATGGCTTTTTTTTTTTTTTTTAAGATTGTGTGTGGACATAGAGTCATAAGCTATATAGACGGATATTACTTGGATATAATATATTTTCTCTAAACCTTAGATAATCAAAATCTTTCCAATTAAATTTATTACATGTGTTGCAGTGAATTGGAACTATGTTTTTTTGATTTTTTTCGGATGTTATTTTGGTGTTCCAAGATGCGCTCCATTAATATCCTGCAGGTCCGACCTACATATTGTTTCCCGCAGGGACATTGCAGGATATATATTACATTTTTAGTTTCACAATTTATATTGGATTTTATACTAAACTCTTTCCCTGTTGTGGTGCTTCTGAACCTTTTTACATTTAATAATCTGAGTTCTGTAAGCCTTGCATTTATTACATGAGTGGGGAAACCTTTTCTTCCCTCTATTGTGTTGTTTCTATGTGGGTTTCTCAAGGCATAACTGGGGGCCAATATGTTTTTTAAATTCCTTGCTTTCCTGAAGATTACTGGTGCTTTTTTTTGGAAGTATATTAACAGGTTACCTTATCAAGTTAATTCTGAATATTGTGCATCAAGTATGCACGGTTACAGTCAGTTGTCTATGCCAATCAGTCTGGTAAACAATTTTTTTTTTTTTTTTTAATTTGCAGAAATAAACATGGCTAAATGAGGCAAAATTATGTAAGATGGCCACACTGAGCCCTAAACAGGTATTACATAGTAGTATTGGTGTTGCTGTAATTTGTGGAATTCCCTGCCATGTATTTGGTGGTTGGTATGGAGGCAGATGCCTGCTCAAAGTAGAACCTATTGCTGTCTTTCCCCCATTGATGGAGTAGCCTTTCAGAGTCAATATGAGCTTGTCAAGGCTACGACTTCATAGACTTCAGAGGTCAGCCTTTCTCAGGTTGGCTGTGATGCAAATGAACTATAATGCTTAAACAACTATTGGAATTTTTATGTCTGTTTCTTTTTTTCCGTCTTCCCTCACAAAGTCATTGACGAGACATTCAGTGCTTTCTAAATTGGAAGTTGCATTGTACTAAAGACCAAGTACAGATTTACGGAGGGCTGAAAGCAGTTAGATCATGTTCTTTTCATGGTGCGATTAGATTCAAATCGATTTCCCTACAGCCTTCAGCATTCAAATGACAATTTGAACAAAGCTAGGGGCTAGACAAGGGACAAAACGACTGAACTGAATGTTAATTACACTCCGCAGCTTTATTTTCTTTTGATTTGGAGCTGACTGGCAACTAAATTAACACAAAGTGTGACCATAACTGCTGGCCCATTCATTTAAAAGGGGAGCAGCCTTTAAAAAGACTATCTTTACAGAATAAGATCTGCTGATCCCTTGGAGCAAAGGCACAGTTTCGCTTTACAAAAAATACGAGAGCAAAAAGAAATACCTGAAAAAAGGGCTGGATTTATAAAAGGCATCTTTTGAATATTGAAAGTGACAAATGACTATCCTAAGTAAACTTTCATTAAGCTCCCACTCTTAAGAGAAAATCTCGACACCCTTGGACTCCTGCCATGCATCACAATTGAGGTTTAATTGGTAATCAAGCTTGTTATGTTTGTGACATTTCAGTGGGAACTATCGGGCAGCGCTAATTGTTTATTAACATCTTACAGTAAAATATGACAATTTGTCTCCCATGTAAAAACTCTAAATGTTCAACATAGAATTTTTTTGGTGCTACGGCTGCAGGCATGTTAATGCAGCAATAGGCATTTTCTTGTTGTGCATTGCAGCTGCACTGTTTTTGATGAGCAAGGAACTGTGCTGTCACTCTGCACCTGCAGATGCCTTCTCTCTTTACACCTGGCGCCATGGTTTATCCCCCGTGATCTTACACTTTGTCCTTTCCTGCTTCGTTTTATTAGGATCTCCTAATACCCCTTTAAAAACTGCTTTTTTAAATCAATTTATTTTGACATGTGCTATAGCTTTATCAGCTGTAAACAAGACAAGTTTGTTTCTTGGTGGCTTAAGCAATATTGTGTAAAAAAAAAAAAAAAGTATTATTGTAAACCCCTTAACCCCTTAAGGACCAAACTTCTGGAATAAAAGGGAATCATGACATGTCACACATGTCATGTGTCCTTAAGGGGTTAAGGACACAACTTCTGGAATAAAAGGGAATCATGACGGAATATTTCTGTCATGTGTCCTTAACCCCTTAAGGACACATGACGTGTGACATGTCATGATTCCCATTTATTCCAGAAGGTTGGTCCTTAAGGGGTTAAAGTGCCTATTTCATAAGAGGACGCTTTTATTAGAGCCCCCATCCCGTTTTATTAAACATGCTTCATCTCTCAGTACGAAAGTACTTTAGTTATTTAATAGTGAGTTTTCTCTTAGAGCAACTTTGGCCAATGCACGTGGAAAGTATCTATTTTTTTATTACTCATATAATTCCATTAACCCCTTAAGGACATATGACATGTGTGACATGTCATGATTCCCTTTTATTCCAGAAGTTTGGTCCTTAATGGGTTAAAGTGAAGCTGTAATGAAAAATGGCTCTTACCTGAAATTGTTCCCATATACATTGAGATCACCATATATCACAAAGATGCATGGTGTGTTTAATGCCAAATATTTTTATTTACTCACCTTTTCTCCTTTCCAGCTCTGCTTCATGGGTGTTAACGCTTAGTGTAACATCCACCTCCGGTCTGTCATCCGCTCTTCCTGGTCTCTTCTTTGATTTGCCCTGCTTGGGTCACATACCCAAGCAGGGCAATTCTCCTCCTCAGTGATGTCGACAAACTGACGCCTCTGTCAGCGTACCAGCATTGGAATAGAGTGATATCATACCCTCTGTTCCTCAGCATGCACAGTGGTTGCTATGGGTGGAGAGCAGAGGGACCTCCTGTGGGAGGTCTTTTCTGATCTGCCTCGGCAGTCAATGCCTCAGAGAAAAATGTTTTTTTTAAAATAGGGTTTTCTCCTAATTTATACATTTGATAGCAAAACTGCTAGCACAGTGTATAGATAAAATTGTTTATGCTCAGTCTAATGAGCATAGGTTGTTTTGGTATGATAGATCACCTTTAATGTCTTTTTGGATAACTTTGGCATGCAGAGATGTGTTTGTCATCCTGGTAGCAATTGGAAAATCAGATTTCTTTTAACAGTATTTGCAAATTGCGGAGTTTTTTTCTAACAAGTAGTTGCGCTGTGGGAATGTTTCTAAATGCAGGATGATGATCTCACAGTTTTACTGAGAGAATGGGTGGAAAAAAATTAAAACTTGGTGGCCAGATTACAGGTTTATTTACGAAGTGAGGATTTCTGTAAATGTAAAAAATGTAAAAAAAAAATATATAATAATCTCATCATTGTTTTCAGTTTGGCTACTTTGTACTTAAATGTGAAATTGACATAAATTCTCACCTTAATAAATATCCTTGTTGTATGCTTTAATGGGGGAGGAGTAAATTAGTAGACTTGAGTATCATTCGATAACATTTATTAAGATAAACTAATGCAGTAAAAATATGATTACATTTTCAGAATTCAGAGGAACATAAATTCTTACCTTTCAATTAAAGGCACACTATAGTTTGCAGAACCTACAGCTTAATGTAGTGGTTTTGATGGCTATAGCAAGTCTCTGCAGTGTTAGAACTGTAAAAACTGCCTTATTGGAGAAGAAGCAGTGTTTACATTACTGGTTAGTAACTGCATAGTGTGGCACTGGCATTCAGGGTCTCCATGCAGATAAACGCTCCCCACAGAGATGCCTTGATTCAGTGCATCTCTATGAGGAGATGTTGATTGGCATAGCTCAGCGTTTTAGTCTGGGAAATTTCCTATGTGAAAGCATTTGATTGGCTGAGATCATAAAGAGTAATGATCCAGTGCCACTAGACACAAATGCATTTTGCCCTTTCAAATGAGAATTGCATCCTCAGTATTTTCTTAGTATTTTAATTGTATGTCTATATTTCATTGTCTTTGGGCTACAGCAATCGCAATGATTTGAGACTTTACATAAAGTCAACATTGTTTTTCTGTTTTTCAATAAAAGCGGGCTTTAGAAGAAGTTTTTTTCAGGGTATTCTCCCCTTTCTATAATACATTAATTTCCCTTTATCCCCACCCCCCAATTTTGGCTAATGTATCACATTCTAATGTTTAAATGCTTGACCATAAATCCCTGTTTTGTTTACTATCGATGTAAAATTGACAAGCAAGCATTATCTATCAGTGTTTAGAATAATCAAGTGCTGAAACCATGAGAAATGAAAGCCCTTTGTTTTTATGCTAACTTGTAGGTGTTATTTTATAATGTTTTTTTTTTTTTTTTGTAGTTTTACAAATTTAAACAAATGTTTTGACAAATGTTAAACAAGTAATAAACATATGCGTACAACATTATTTCCAGATCCCAACAAACCACAACGGTACATATTTCAATGTATTCTCGTATAGTTCATTTCTCAGTTGGGATACTCAATACTCTTTATTCGATAATCCAATTTTTTCCTGAAGATGCGAAAAACTACTAATCCCAGAAATACCGTATAGGTTTTGAATTTTTTTTTACCCTATCTCTAGCTAGTCATTTAGATCTTGAATATAAAACTTCAAGACTTCCAAAGGAGCATTTGAGGAGAATTGATTTTGGGAGAAGGTGTATTTCTTCATCAATTTTTATAGATTGAAAAATATGAGAAATAATCAAGTTATCAATATTAAGGTTTTTAAAAAGTTTCTTATCCACCCATATAAGACCAAAAGGGTCAAAAGTACTGCACAAACTCCTTTCATATATATACCATGCTTTCACCATTGATTTATTTCCCCATTCTAAATAGTGTGAGAACATTACCGTATCATGAGTATAAAATCTATTCGGGAAAGATAATCCTCCTTCTGCTAATCTGGCTGACAACTCTAAGCGCGATCCAAGGTTTCTTGTTACCCCAAACATAGAATAGAAATAGACTATGAAATAGTCTCTATATGGGACTCTATTAGGGGTTATTTTAAAAATTTCTTAAATGGGTTTTTTGTTTTAAGAGCTTAACATATCCCAAAATGTGCTACCTGCATTGCTATATTATATAGAGCATTTTCATGACAAACCTTTTTTTTTTTTGACTTTTGTGCCCAGTACGGATCGTAGTAAATTACTTGAGTACAGTATGCATTCTTAAGTTTGTTTGTCTGTTATAACAAAATTGATATGTTGCTTATGACCCAAACCCCATTATGTTTATGATTCCCCCTTTAAAATATCTGTGGCTAGATACAAGCTCCTCCTTTAATCAGACACTCTATGCCAATGCCTGTCTTCAAGAGAACAGCCCCTCCCCCACGCACAAGCCTGCAAACCCCTAAAACACTTTGTGTGACGAGTATGTCCTTTTTGCTAACTAAAAAAAAAGTGCTGCTTTCAATAGAAATAGGCTATTTTATAAATGTAGCATGGTTACATCCCTTGGTTTTAAGGCAGAGAACAGGTTGTGTTACCTTCTGGTTAGCTAAGTGGAGCTAAACCCAAGAGGCAGCACATGTTTTGCAAAGACTTCTCATTGACTTCTCATTGAGTTTGATTGGACAGCCACAGAAAGTCTGGGTGGGGTTAGAAGAGGGCTTGCAAAGGCTGCAGACAAGAGAAATGCATGTTTTGAAAGCTGTTTTTAGATATACCCCCAATAAAAATACATAATTAAATGCATGCAAGTTTTTTTTTAACCATATATCTACTAAATAGTGATTTTTATTTATTTTGTATATGGGCAGTGGAGTGTACCTTTAAGAAAGAATGGAGGGGTATCTTACATCACTCCCTTCATCAAGGGGGCTGTACCAAACATAAGGAAGCCATCTGTGGCTTCCTAAGCATGTTCAGTGCTAAAGAGAAGTTTCTGCCTTCATTCAGACACTAGACAGAACATTAAGAAGGATAACATGCAGTCATAAAATTGTTGGGTTCACTTTAAAGTCCTGGATTGGTCAGATTCCTGAAAGCACGACATTCAGAGAATGTATGTGCTTGTATGATGCATTACATAATTAAAAACCTAAAGGGATGAATGGCAATGATAGTGTTCCTATTAAAGTAACTCTTCAAGTACCATAACTGCTATGTTTGTGTTGATTATTGTGCTTTTAAGCTGTCCCTGCAAAGTTGTGACATTTTATGCATCTTTTGCAAACTCTCCAGCACCAAAGTGTCTCTCCCACAATTCCTTGCTTTCATTTGTTGCCCATCTCAGCGCATCAGGCCATGCTACACCAAACAGTGCTGTGTGCGTGCTCACATGTGAACACACGTATCTTCGGGAAACTGTCTTCAATGACACAAGCAGGACAGTGCATGTTATCATTGTACAAGTATTCAGTTGATTGAAATGAGAAGCTAAACTTCCCTGAATTACATCTGATTAGCCCTTAGAGGTATGTTCGTGAGTTGGAGAACACACTATATGCAAACACATAAAGGAAAACGTATTCTAGAAAAATAAAATAACTAATTATTTGCTTTTATGGGAACTTGGTCTGTGTATGGCTTTGTTGTGCTGTGTCTCTTGCTTATTTATTTTCTTCCCCCTCGTGGTTGAAATAATTTCTCTCCTAGTTACTAGTCAACACCAATACTTAGAGATTACCACAGACCACCCTGTACCCAGCCACTGTCCTGTTGATTACAAAACAGCTGCACAGTGAATTTTATTTTTTGTCTTCCAGTGAAGAGTAAAATTCTCTCTCATTTGTCTTCTAGACACGAAGATCGATTGAGAAGTTATTGGAATGGGAAAACAATAGGATATACCACAAGGTGAGTACCACAGGGAGCAGCTTTGCAGTGTTGAAGTCTGAATTGCACAGTATGGAAACAGATGCTTTTGTTAGGCTAAAAATATGAAAGGTGGATAAATGGTCTAATGTGTGTACGGCACTCTAATGGAAAGTCATTTTTCTTCTTTTACGATCTCTCTCTTCCAGCTGTGCTTGCACTGGCGATTGAGCAAAAGGAAATGTGAAACCAACAACATGATGGAATATGTAAGTTAAAGGCTGTTTTGTGAGTCTCTCTATTAAATGATCATTTATTTTGCTTCTGATCTTATTCATTTGGTGATTATTAATCAGTAAATGTGTCATGAGCTTAATCACCCGAATGGAAGGATTTTCTACGGTTCCCAGATGCATAGGCTCATGTGCAGGACTGATTTATAAAGTTATGAAGGGCTTGAATACAAGTCTTCACTGTGTTGTAGAAAAAAAATAATAGATTGTTAAAATAAAATAGCCCAAGCATGCATTGAAAGGGTGTGAAATGTGTTTTGTTTTTTTCCTCCCCCTTCTTCTATATGAAGTATAATCGTAACTTTGGCTGCCCCGCGATTAGCATCATACTCTGTGGCAATATCCAAGTTCACTTTCAGTGTTACTCTCTAAGCCATAAAGAAGAAAAATTTTCATGGGGTCAACTGGCAAAACATAATGTAACCCAGAGTCTGGTCAACTCTTTTATTACAATTAACTGAAAACTTGTTTTAATATTTTATCATGCATCAATGTACAGAGATCATTTTTAATCCTTTTATTTTAGTTATATCTTTAATGTTTTAATAAAAAATAAATTTTATATAAAATTATTTATATAGAATATTTATTTTAAAAATGGTGATAACATTTGGTTTAGTGTTTACACTGTAGTGACATATTAATTATAAACTTTTGCTACAAATGTTTTCCTCATGTTGGCTTTGTGTTTTTTTGTTTTCTTTTGTTATTGTTTTTTGTTTTGTTTTTTATTTGCCATCAGTGATCATAATACTGAAGCTGTGTGTAATGGAAAAAAAACATACCTGATTTTTCTACTTACCTGTTGAGTCCTGTGACATATCCATATCCCTCTGTAGACTTGTATATACAACTTGTGTTCCTATTAAAGGACATAAATTTTTATTTTTTTTAATAGATCTCTACATTATGCAAGTGGCGTTGCTACTAAATATGTACAATTAACAAAATCTAAAGGAAAACATTATATATAACCACCTATTAAACAGTTCTTGGTACAAACCGTTATGGTGGTGACATGCTAAGGCTTAACAGAAAGACAAGCCTATAAACCCTGCTCACCTTCTAGGCAACTACCATGCTTGAGTGGCAGTGTACCGTAGTTGCTGTGATTCCTGAAGCATTATGTTTAAACTCCTGTCCGCTGTAATTGGTGGAGCCATTTTAGTTTAGAGGCAATGCCCAATAACCATTGTCATTTTGGATGCAACAGTGTTAGAATTAAGTACAAAGTTTACCACTCATGGAAAATATGTTCTTCACTTTAAGAATAATTGTAGATATACTTGTATACAAGGCTTTTAGGAAATGCTTTTGTTTTTTACAGACCTAAAGCTGGTTTATAGTATTCCAGGAAGACTGTTTAGATCTAAAAAAAAATAAAAAATTACATTACTCGCTTTACATGGGTTTATTTTTTATCTACAATTATTTTCATTTTTAAACCCATGAATCCAATTTAATGATGTAACCTTTTAACCGAATATTTACAGTTTTATGTTGCATAATACAAATAGGTTTGCACTTTAGCCTCTTGTATTCATAGCATGACTGACATGCAATTAGGGCTATCTATTTACATGGTTGTTAGCCAGAGGTGCAAATTTCAATTGTGTGATATTTCCACGATACACCAATATGGGAAGAAAACCAGTTCGCATATAGAAAAATCACAGTCCCTCAAAACATCCTTGAGCACAAATTTGATGCAACAGAGATTCGACAAGTGCAAATTCAGCACACTGCAAAGGTGCTTGGTTATTATTATTGCCATTTATATAGCGCCAACAGATTCAGTAGCGCTTTACAATATTATGAGAGGGGGAATTTAATTATAAATAGGACAATTACAAGAAAACTTAAAGGAACGATAGATTGAGGAGGACCCTGCTCCAACGAGCTTACAGTCTATAGGTTAATAGTATGTTTGCCATGCTTTTATGTTGTAGGCCTTGACATGTTTAAGGGTAGCCCTGAGTATAGTTTATATTTATAGCTTTATGAATACATACTGAAATATCAACTCATAGTACACCCCTAAAATGAAATTTTACAAAATTTTAACTGAAATTTAATCTGTTTACATTTTCCAATTATTATATAAATTACTCATGACTTACAAGGGCATTCCATTTTTTTTTTTTTTTTTTAACCAAGCATAACTTTATTTAAAATGAATTGATTGATGTAATACATGGTGGCTACAGTAATATTTGTTTTACAATGAATTGTTCTAAGGAAATTAAATATTCATAGCTGGGGACACTGAAAAGGGCCATTGACACTTGGTCATTAATTAGTCTCTAAAGAGACATGATTAGTTGTAAGTTACACTTCCATTGTTAAGTTACTATCAAAGGAATTGTCCCTTGTTTTGAAATACAAAAGTGTTGAACCGCATAACTGATGTAGTCCATTAATAATTAGCCAGGGCCTACGCTAACAGATTTAGTGACCTCTCAACCATGTGTTTGTATGGCTCTTTTCATACATGAGTGTTGTTGTTTATTGCCCTAAAACTCCCACTGTGCTGCATCATCTAATGGACACTAAGCTGAATAGGTAATGCTTTGGGGTTTGTTTGATTTTGAAATGTTTTTTTGCTTCAATTTCTCCATGTTAAGTTTTCTCATGAGTTGAATTAGGAAATAAATGTGTATGGTTGACCTGACTGAAAGCTGATTAATGTTTTTGTTTCAACAGGTCATCTTGATAGAATTTTTACCAAAGACACCAATTTTTCGACCAGATTAGCATTGTCTTTTTATTTGTTTCCAAGGACTTGATCCAGTATCTCTTATTTCCAATGGTGCCTTGCTTGGTGCTTTCCCAGTGGTGATATCATGGTTCTACCGAATTCTGTGGCTTGCTTTCTTTTATCTATTTGTTTTGTTCTTGAATGAGCTACCAACACCAGGTTCATTTCAAAGTATTTTTCCTTTGGAGTTGAGATGGGACTTTTTTGACACTTTTTTTTTTTTTTTTTAGGAGGACTTTTCTTTTTTTTTTTCTTTCTTCTAAAGCCACACTCTGTTTTTATTCAAAGGTCAATTGGTGTTCCATTTTCTTTTTTGTTTTTCTCATTTCTTCTTTTTTTAGAGGAACTGTTTTTGTTTATTTTTTTTGATGGCCTGTCACGTGTGGAACTACAATTTCTCCGGTCACAGTTCGGGAGCCAAGATGTCACTGCACCATTAGGAATCTCTATTTACCCAAGAAGATCTCCTCCTGTCAGCTGGTTCTGCAGCAGATCTACTGAACATGTTGGAACTGAAAGAAATTCTTCATTACCCCTAAAATATTTATGGAAATATGTGCATGTTGTGGCGTTTTAATGAAGCTCAGGACCACACTTTTTTTTATTTCATTTATTTGTTTTTTTTAATCTTTGTTCAGGAGCAATGAATTTCCCAAGTCTTGCTTTATTTACCGGGTAGTCTACAGGTAGAGGGTTATTAATGATGTCTGATATTAAGAAATATATTTCTAAATCCACTTTGTTTACTCACTGCTGAATGACAACCATTTAAATCATATGGAAAATGTAAGCTAAATTAATTAAAACAGACTTGGTTAAAATATCTTAAACATTTTCAAAGACCCTTCCATACTGCTTCACTGCGTCGTATAGGTTGCAATGTTTTCAGCCATGTGGCTGGTGTGAAGGTGTGGTAAAATGAAAGGCAGTATGTTTCTTTATACTGCAAATTAATACTTCCTTTCAGTTTAAATATATTTAGCTTCAGTAACATACTCCGAGGCGATGCTTGTATTTTTTTTTTTTGTCACACTCCTGCTGGGAAAACACCTGAAGACACATTGGGACACACAATAGATTACACATTTCATGGATATATTTTAAGGTTTACATTACTTAGTGTTATGCACATATTCAACCTTAATGGGGGTCATGCAAGATTCACCTTTGTTGTGACATATAAACTCACTAGTACTTTATTTTGTTCATATTTGTTCCTATTAATTCATCTTAAATAGCTATTACATTTTTGTTTAACTTGTAAGAATCTGTATTCTCTAAAAGAACTAGTTCTAAAAAAAAAAGCAACCTGTGGTATATGTGTAGCATTTTGAATATAAATGCTTTGTTTAAACTGGTAAAAAAATTTAAATGTTAATTACCACTATATTATTTGCTCTCTTATTAAGTATATATGCCATTGCTATTCTTAGCAATGATTAGAAGGATATTGTATACATCAGTGGGTGGGAGAAATATACCCAGGGGTTTTGTTTTGCTCTTTTTTTTTTTTTTTTAACTTTAAAATGATAAATTCCATTTAAGTTGGGAGAACATAAGGAAGACGAGCTTGTTTTGTTATTTTTATGAAAGGATGCATAGCCAGTACTAACACAAAGTGGGTGATATTGTGTAGAAATGCAGTTAATTGCCTCTTTTTGCCTTTTTGTTTATAATTTTACACCAGTTTGAATCCTACAATGCCTTTTGTTGTTTTATGTGCATAGCCAATGCAGGCAGTGGTATGCACCAAAGCTGTGATGGTTAAACATGGCACTCCAGGGGTTTGAAAACTACATTGCCCACCATGCATAACCAGCCTACAAGCATCCTGAGTATGGCGGCGGAAAATGTAGTACTCCAACATCTGTGGTGCAAAGGTTCGCTATCGTTGTACTATAGCCTTTACGTAAGGATAATCAATCGTACATTCTCGGATGTCCATGTATGTGGTAGCTGTATTCTGCTTGGCCTAGTTATGTTTTGTCATTATATTTGTATACTATTAAAATATAGAAACCTCAAGATCCTAGCCTCCCTTTTTTTTTTCATTATAAACTGATAAGACGTGTAAATTTTGCCATCTATTTGAGTTGTTAAAAAATAGTTTTAATGTTTACTGCAAGTCATTTTTATTTTGTCAGTAAAGTAGGCATTATACAACACAGGACAATGACATACAATGGAAATACAAATCTACTACAAGTAAAAACTGGGTGATAGGGATTTGATTATACATTAAAGGAACACTATAGTCACCTAAATTACTTTAGCTGAATAAAGCAGTTTTAGTGTATAGATCATTCCCCTGCAATTTCACTGCTCAATTCACTGTCATTTAGGAGTTAAATCACTTTGTTTCTGTTTATGCAGCCCTAGCCACACCTCCCCTGGCTATGATTGACAGAGCCTGCATGAAAAAAAAAAACTGGTTTCACTTTCAAACAGATGTAATTTACCTTAAATAATTGTATCTCAATCTCTAAATTGAACTTTTATTCACATACAGGAGGCTCTTGCAGGGTCTAGCAAGCTATTAACATAGCAGGGGATAAGAAAATCTTAATTAAACAGAACTTGCAATAAAGAAAGCCTAAATAGGGGCTCTCTTTACCGGAAGTGTTTATGGAAAGCTGTGCAAGTCACATCCAGGGAGGTGTGACTAGGGTTCATAAACAAAGGGATTTAACTCCTAAATGGCAGAGGATTGAGCAGTGAGGCTGCAGGGGCATGTTATATACACCAAAACTGCTTTATTAAGCTAAAGTTCTTCAGGTGACTATAGTGTCCCTTTTAATATTAATTGTAATTGGCAATTTCCCCTTTACATCAGTTATGAAGCAAAATAAGAATTAATTTATTGTAAGAAAAAAAAAAAACACTTTTGCCTATGTGTACTCTTTGGAAGGACTTACAAGTTTAGTTTTCTTTTTATTGGTCAACAATAGAAAATTTGTAGCCCTGAATTAGAGAACTGGTGTTCCCATTATGCTTAATTAGCAGCTGACTTAGTCCTTTAAAATTAAACTGATTTCTGCATGTTGTGACCACATCTATATATGATTATTCATCTCTACTTGATATTTGATAAGTAATCTTGATCTAAACTTGGTCTTGGCTACATTTTCATTTTTTTTTTCAAACTAATGCTACACACCAAAAAAATCTTACAGCTTGACCGATCATTGCTTTTTCTTAGTTTAGACGCACAATGCCATTTAAATGTGAAATTTAAAAATTGGTCTACATTGGCAGGAAAATAACTGGGACATGGAAGCTAGCATTAGACCCCACTATAAAAAATATTGGTTAGAGAAGATAATTGGCTGCAATTAGTAAAATATTGTATTTTGGATGGGTCTGAAAAAGCTTTTGGTTTTAATGATAAACCTGGCAAATGAGTTTTTGTCCAATATGTCTGAAAAGGTTCTCAAACTTTCGGCACACAATCTGGGTTTGTCATCGGTCGCCAGAAGGATTATGTAGCGGATTCCGGGTAACCCGACCGGTCACCTCTGCTGACACCTTCCTTCAGCCGCTCAGGAACCACCTTAGAAGATGAAGAGACCCATTCCCCCTCCCCCCCCAGTAACTGGACGAGACCCAGTTCTGGAGGTACAACACAATTTTATTACCACACACAACTTTTATACATATCCCCATGCAAGGGGGTCTTCCACACACATAAACACGGGTTATCCAAGGATCCTCTATGCTTGGAAGCTCACTGTCTCTATCTTCCAAAAATGGAAAGCTCGCCACTCAGGCGAGGGGGTTTCTCGCCTAGGACGAGGGGGGTCTTCATCCCATGAGCCTCTGCCTGGGAGCCAAGCGCAGGAAAAGAGACCGTCCCTTTTGTCTCCCAGGCACAGAAAAGCCAGACAAAGCCCCACAAGAGTCCACACCAACCTCCGGGGCCTTCACAGGGGCACCTTCCTCGGCCAGTCTCTGCTCGTGAGGTTCCTGTGTAGAAACCCGGCAAGGGAAGTGTCTCCTTTTGGGGTACGAATGCTCCCCCTGGTTGGCGTTTGTCTTGTGGAGGATTATACCTGAACCAAGACTCGTACTTTGGGTAATTTTTATCCACAACAGTCTAAACTAAATATTAATTACTTCCCTTGTGGTTTCACACTTGTTGTGAGTGTGAACATTATGATGAGGCACCAGGGAGGTCCTCGTTCAGGAAAACGAACAAGTCGGGAAACAATCCACAAACGCTTCCCCCTGGCGGGCATTCGTCTATACAAAATGGTAGCCACACAGGGGAGCGTTCATTAATTGCTTCCCTTGTGGTTTTGCATCTATGTTAGAGGTGAGAACATTCTAACTAGCATCTTAAATGGAATATTGGGGTGGTCCCCGTTCGGGAGACAAAGTAGTTTCTTTCGTACGAACACTCCTGAACGGGGTACAGGCCACAATACACAAAAACACATAGAATTACATGGGGAACACGGTGAAAAACATTCAACAGTGGAAAGTACCCGAACAGCAGTGGTTTTGCTACAGACTATATGGCTCAGATCATGGATAGCAGACAAGTCTGACTTGTGTGAGTACCTTTTTGAGATAAATAAGTTATTTGGCTCTCTATTAAAGGATACCAAGAAGGCGCTACTCGAAGACAAGGTTTAACTGGAATAGGAGACTCCCATTTCAGAATCAAAGGCCGTTTCAATATAATGACCAATCTTGTTAAATTTTTGAGACCGAACCAGGGCTCAGGGTTCAATGAGAGAAAGGGCAAGGCTAGAGAAGGAAGTTGTGACACCAAAAGAATTAGGAAAAACTCACTGGCTCTACTGTCTGAGACACTTATTAGAGAGAGTTTCCAAGCAACTAGAATTCCAATGTGTTTATTTAAGGTTTGTTTGGTTCCAAAGTAAGAACTTTAATTCTGGCCGGGGCTAAACTTAAAAAAGGGTGAACAAGTGTATTCAGTACCAGATATAGATCTCGTGGCAACAAGGAAATACAGGAAGTTACCTATACTGGAAAGACTATCATCCGTTTCTATATGGTCTTCAGGATGGCATGTGTATTCCCTAAAGTTGCTCTTATCTAACGTATCCTCCAAAAGATCAGAGCAGACAGGGCGACAGTGTTTGCAATAATACCATTTTAGCCAAATGCTGATGTTTTTTCTGAATTGAAACAAGCGAACTTTGGAAGTTCTCTGTTCACTAGCAGTTGATTTGATAGAGGAAGTTCCCAATGAGATGTGGCTATTGCAAGGCTAATTCTCCAAAATCAAGGGATTAAAGAACATAAGCTAGATTTCCTACAAAATTCAACTAAAAGGTTATTGATGACTTTTTTTTATTTTTTTTGTTTGTGGTTATGTCTGCCAGGCGCATAGAGCAAATTCAAGCTTTATGTTGTTCAGAAAACGTTACGATCTTTCAATAAAATGTGGTCTAATATTCAAAACACCAATTTCTACCCATGGTTCTGTCTAAAACAAATCTCAATCAACCCACCATTCTTCCATCATTTTGCCAATCTCTTTCTTCTCCTAAATAAGTGAAACTTTACCTTCTGGACTTCAAAAGCACCGGAAATCTATATATTAAGATGTCTTCTGATTTCTGGACATCGGGCTTTTTGTCAACTTTCAAGGTAGAGAGACCTTTAAACCTACCATTGCCAGGTGGTTGACTGACACAAAGTTGTTGTAGGAAGTTAATGGTCTAAAACTACAACTTCTGGCGAAGACGCACCCCACCAGATCTATGACACTAGCCTGGGTGGCTAACGCTTCAGAGATATTTTCCAGAGATATTTGCAAAGAGGCTAAGTTGTCATCATGTAATACTTTTTATAAAACACTACAGGCTAGACCACTTTTCTATCTCAGGAGCTGCTTTCGGGCACACTGTGATCGTTTTCATGATTGTTCCTATATTCCACAGGTATTTGGGGTAAAACAAATTAGAAAAGTGGCAGAAAGGATCTACCTTTGTTTGTTATGAAATTGATATATTTTTTTAAAAGCATTTGGTCTACATGTGGCTACTTGCTAATACTAGGGTGCTCAGCCTGGGACAACTTTTTAAAGTTATGAGAGGGAGGAGCTTGTTTTATTTCAACTTTCTAGGAGAAACTCTCCACCAGATTTAAGAACATCCCACAGGTACCGTGACAATACTAATGAAAAAATTGTTTATGGTAATCTTGACATTTTGCCTAGTATATTGAATATACTATGCAGGTAATTACCTATCACAATAGCGGATTTATATGATTTTCAGAAGAGGATTATTTGCCTCTACTAATAAAGCACAGCTCATATGGCTGATCCGTTCTAGTTAAAGGACCACTATAGGCACCCAGACCACTTCAGCTTAATGAAGTGGTCTGGGTGCCTGGTCCATCTCGGATTAACCCTTTCTGCTGTAACCATAGCAGTTTCAGAGAAACTTGTTTACCTATGGGTTAATGCAGTCTCTAGTGGCTGTTTCAGTGACAGCCGCTAGAGGCGCTTCCGCGCTTCTCACTGTGATAATGCTTTCCTATGAGACTGGCTCAATGCGCGCGGCTCTTGCTGCGCATGCACATTCAGACGATACGGAGGAGAGTCCCAGCGCTGGAAAAAGGTACGCACGGAGGGAGCCTTCAGCGCCACGGGAGTGGAACCCTGAGGGTGGGGGCACCCTAAGAGCACTATAGTGCCAGGAAAACGAGTATGTTTTCCTGGCACTATAGTGGTCCTTTAACCCAGTAACATGCTATATCCATAACTGGACTGTGATGTTACTCTTGCCATTTTTATTTTGACTAAATGTTTTTTCAAACGATATTGCTTTCTTCAGCACAATAGTAAAAAGAAAAAACAGTGCAAAACTCTGAAAATGTTCTAAGGTATATTTCCGAATGAAGGATAAACAATGGTAGCTCTTGGATAGCTATAATATATGGTTTGCTTTCCATTCATATTGGTTTTTCCTAGCCTCTCAGAGGCTGATTTCTTTTGTCACACAAAAAAAAAACTTGATATAATGGTGTAAGAGATTGCTCATTGTCTC